TTCAGAAGAGAGAGATATGTGTGTGTGTGTGTGTGTGTGTGTGTGTGTGTGTGTGTGTGTGTGTGTGTGTGTTTATCAGGTTGAGAGGGCGTAGGAACTATGTGATGGGATGGGATGAGTCTGGCATTGTCACTCACATCTTTCAGGTCATGGTACTCTTCCAGCGCGTTTGGCGCGTAGCGGATCCTCTGGTCGCCGTGTCCGTCGAAGACGATGCGCGGGGCGTCGAAGAGGAGTTGTCGCGCTGTGGCAAGTTTGTCGCTGTTGTCGTCACCATCACCGCCGCCGCCTCCATTACTCTCTTCTTCGGCTTTTGAGCTTTTGCCCCCAGCAGCAGCAGCAGCAGCAGCAGCAGCAGCAGCACCAGCTGTTGCATCATACCCCGCCGCGCAGATGATCGTGTTCTTCATCCCCAGCGGCCGCGGCCAGGCCGATGCCCCGGCCCCGCTCGTCGAATCCCGCGTGCAGAGACACTCGAAGACGAGTTGTGCGCTATTGGCGATCGAGCTGTCGCCGGCGGCGCCGACGTGGTCGAACCAGCGCATCGCGCCGAGGATCGTTTCTTCGCTCAGTGTCTCCACGATCAGGGGCTGCCACAGTGTCTTGAATCGGCCTTTGAGAGCGGTGGTTTGTTCTATTGATCAGCGAACCCTCGGCCACCCTTGAACAGGTGGCACGTTGGAGGTTGGATATGTTAGTATTTCTTCTTTTCTTTGGAGCCTTTTTTTTTTTTACAAAGCATGGATGTAGTGAGTGACTTCTCCCTCAGCCATGTGTCTCTTTCTGCTGCGCCTCTCTTTTATCTGGGCTGCCGCAGAGAAAGGTGTTGGGCGAGATTGGGCGTTTATGAGATGGATTTCGGGCGCGGAGAGCTACAAACTTACCGTGCATCTGCGAGACACCGTGTAGATTGGTGACTCGTGTCATGTCCATCGCCCCAGGAATATCAAGCGCCCACTTGAATCCTTCTTCCGACCGTCCGTGCTCACGGCCCAGGGCGTCGAACGCTTGCGCGATCAGCAGATCTTCCGTCGCGCCCATGTGCGCCGCTTGTTCTTTCTTCACCACATACAGGTCCATCGAGACCTGGGGTGCCAGAGTCTCCGAGCGGGCGTTCATGGACGCAATACCCCCGGCGACGAGGGCGAGCTGGCGCCGCGGCACGATGATCGGGCCGGCGTAGATGTCCTGGGGATACGGGTAGGCGCGCAGTTTGAACTTGGTGACGACGCAGAAACTCGCGCCGGCGCCGCGCAAGGCCCACAGCAGGTCGGGATCCTGCGAGGCCCAGAGGACGGTCCCGTCCATCTTAACGACCTCGGCGTCGAGCATATTGGCCGGGTCCGACGTGTTGCCGTATTGGCGGGCCAGCCAGGAGAAGCCTCCCGAGAGGATGCTGCCCCCGATTCCTAGAGCTGGTGTACGTGCAGCGACGACTATTTTCCTCATCAAGGGGAGACAGGAATGTTCAGTTAGCCGAGATTCATTCACTTCACCATGTACTTTTCCAAGGGACAAGGGGGGAAGGCAATTCCACGTTGTTGTCATATACCGTGATATCCTGGAGCCACTCGATCCATCTTTTCATAGTAATCCCTCCAAAGCTGTCCCGCGCCCAATGTCACGATCTTCTTTTCGTGATCCCAACTGAACTCGTCGAATGACTCCATGCTAATGAGCACGTCCCTAGCCGAGGCCGAGCCATACCCGGAACTGCGAACCGCCATGTCCAGGTCCGAAGTCCACAGGTATTGCAGGACCTTTGACAGAGACTGTGTTGAGCCCGGTCGGACGACGAGGCGGGGATGCAGGTTCTTCTGGGCCGCCCATGTCGATGTACGTGAGTCGTACCGCTCTGATGATGGGAGGATGACTTCGGGCTCGGACAGCAGCGAGCGAAGGTGGTCCAGCTGCTCAGTAATAGACTCGGCCATTGTGTCTGATGAGAAGGCTCGTTGATACCAAGGCCACGGGGCGTGAACGCAAAACGAGGTCTCGACTTGATTAAACAAGATTGTAGAAATGAGCGCTTGTTGCTTGCTCCTCCTTGGAGCCTTTTTACCTTTTTTCCTTTGTACCTACTAGGGGAGTGAGACTTGGGAAGGGGGAGACTGAAAGGCGCTGACATCGTGGGACATTTATCGCTTCTTGAATCCCTGAACTGCAGTGCTGATTACAAGGAAATTTACTCTTCACGGTAAGGTCGTGATCTGTTTTGACCCCCTGTAGCAGTACACCTGCAGCATCGCACATGTTTTGTCCAACCATGGCTCGTGAGAGGGCGGGTGTAGCGGACCGCTATCCTTGGCTAGATGAAGCAGTTCAGGCGTTGCAGAAGAGAGACGTGGATTCTTAGGGGCAGGACGCCTCAATTGTCTTTCCCTCGCGGGTTTTCCGTGACCTGGTGGTGCGTTGGTTGTGTGTAACATATCGCCGACCGGCGCGCCTGGTCGGCTTATCCCCTGGAGAAGTAGTCGATGATGCCTTTGAAGGAGGGAATGCCTTGTCTACCTGGCTGCATTGGGGTTTACAGGCATGGTGTTGTGAACAGCTCTACGAGTAGGAAGGCAGAGGAGGTGGTGGTTGTCGCTTAGCGCAGCCTCGAAACTGCGCAAGGCTGAGTTCAAACACAAACAGCCAAAGAAAAAAAAAACGACCAATAATGGCTTCACTGTCATTGACACTTGATGATTCCTTGTTCGTACATAGATGATCGTGTCTCGCTCCACTTTATGGCGAGCCGTATAAGATCAAGCAAGATCTTTCAGATGAGCCGCCCCCGGTCCTGGACGCCTGTTTATTGAACAGCAGGTTGTGATCAATAATGCACAGGCGAGTCCGGATGACGAAACTGTCTCTACCAATTTCTCCTCCCACCTTTTCCTCTTCCACGGCCACCAAAGCCACCTCCACCGCCTCCGCCTTGGTCAAATCCACCACCACCTCCGCCCCCTCCAAACGGAGCAGAGGGACCAGTAGGCGGTTGCGGCTGTCCCATCATTGGCCCTCCTCCGCCTGCCATGAACTGCATGAACTGAGCAGGGTCCATAGTCGTTGGATCCAGCCCTTGAGACGTCATTGCAGCGAACATCTGCTGCATTTGCGCTTCGTTGGGCATCGCCATTTGTGACATATCTGCTGCCGGCGCACCTGGCAAGGCGGGCATCCCTGGCATGCCACCTCCGGGGATACCTTCCACAAACGCTTTCATCTGTTCTGCTTGTTGTGTGATCTCTTTCACTTCTTTAGGCATCTGATGCTGTTTCAGGCAGTAAGAAGCCCAGGTAAACTCGTCAAATCCATAGTTGAAATAGTCCGTTATATCTGCACCGGGCTTTCGCCAGGGCTTTGATGATTCCGAGGGAAAGTCAACATCGAAATCTGTAGACATGATCGGCTTGCCAGTGGCTGGGTGCACCGGATTTCCGTTCGGATCGATCTTGGACGTGTGTCGAGCTGGGTAGTCGGTGCCAGGACGATCGTTGGGAGGTTGGGATCCACCTCTGATATCTGCGGGCGTGCCTGCTTTCATTGCTGGTGTCGGTGTTGATGACGATTTCCGTATATCTGCGCCAGTTTGTGCTAGACCAGGAAGCCGCTTCGTCTGAGAACTTTGTCCTGAGCCTGGCTCTGGTTTAGGCTCGTCCTTGACGTCGATGATGAAGTCAACATCGTCCTGGATATTGTCAGTCCCCTTGCCGTCTCTTTGGAAGCGCATCTCATACGTCGTCGTCTTCCTCTTCAACTTCCTCGCCCTCCTCTTCACCATCCTCACCATCCTCCATCTTCACCTCACTCTGGTGCCTCTGGGCGTTCGACTCATCGTGCTCCGGGTAGATATCGTCTTCGTCCGAGTCCATCATCTTGTCGACCCAGATGATGCGCACCGAAAGTGAGGGGGAAAGAGGGCGTTGCAAGGCTGGTATTTGACGATGGAGTGAAACACGCGCAGAATGTTTGTTGCGTTTGCTTGTTTTGCGATGGAGCTTGGAAAGTTTGCGGCGTTTCCTGTCCAATCATTATCGGAGCTCCGCCGAGGAAAGTCTAACGAGCGGATGGTTCGAGAAAAAGTCCCCCAGGACCTCTTTGAAAAGTGATCCATCTATTTACAGACCTCTGTGTGATTCTACCTCTTCCTCATACCATAGTCCGTCCGATCTTAGACCTGCACCAGATCTCTCCAATTCAGTCAAGATGGTAAGTTATCTTCCCTGTGGACATGTTTCTAAAAGCCACTGTTTGCGCCGCTCTCCCTCGCGACCATTGTTGATTGACAAACCACCTCGCGCAGACTACCGCAATCAAGAGCATCCGATCCCTCGTCCCTCTTCTCGACCGCGTTCTCGTCCAACGAATCAAGGCCGAGTCAAGAACAGCTGCTGGCATCTACCTCCCCGAAAGCAGCGTCAAGGAGCTGAACGAGGCAAAGGTCCTCGCCGTGGGACCCGGTGGATTCGACAAGGATGGAAAGAGGATGGCAATGAGCGTCCAGGAGGGTGACAAGGTGTTAATTCCTCAGTATGGCGGAAGCCCGGTGAAAGTGGGAGAAGAGGAATTCCATCTGTTCCGGGATCACGAGTACGTGCAATTCACATTATGGACGGGACGCAAATCGTGTGCTAATGGTATCAAGGCTTCTCGCAAAGATCAACGAATAAACCACACCTGCGATATCTCCCTAGTTTCCGAGTCCTGCTCCCCAGACAAGCCCAAGTCGCCACTCGGCGAGTATCGAAAGCACGGACTCATCATCTGTACACCATGTATCATCATCGCAGTACTCCTGCGTGTCAACATCAAAGCTTGCGACCGTGCGACATGGGGCAATGCGGAAGAAAATTTTCCATTCCAGCATGAGCGAAAAGCGCCGGGAGTCAGTTGTGCAATTTTGCATATACCATTGTGTAGATTTGAAAGGAGTACCAATATATTTGCCTTCTCCGCTCAACATGTAATTTCTTCACGTCGCACCTCTGGTCCGTGACTTTGACCGGCTCCCCTGCTTCGTCCCGGCAGAAGTGTTTCCACCTGGCTTTGCAGTGCTAGGCAGATCCCTGACCTCCAGCTCGCGTCCAATAACCTCTCTAAAATCCAGGCCAGAATTGCCCAACATCTCCCGCTCGTGCTGCCACACCACGTCCATACATTCTCTCCACAACTTTCCTTGCTTCTCAATTGCACTCAACTGCCTGACTAGCAAGGTATTGAATGTCTCCAAATGTGTGTCGGCCCATTTGACGCAAGCGCTGATGGTCAACGGTGAAAAGGCCGCTTGATATATAAGCACAGTGTTCTTCACGATAGTAAAGTAAACGTAGGAGATGGAAAAGACATAGCGGTGCAGATCACCCTCGAAAACGCATTGCCGCGCTCTTTTGACGAGGGTCTCGCTCCGAGCGTTGAGGTAGGCTTCTCTTGCACGGTCCTCAAATCCGAGGCGGATGAGATAGCCGACCTTGCGTTTCGTGGCTTCCATGAAAGATGGAGTCTCAATCAGTTCCCGGCTGAGCACAGTGGCAAGCTTGCCGGCGCGCTCATCAACCTTGACGCTGATGAGCTCTTGTGCGACCGAATTGCCCTTCAAGCTCTTGGCAATCTTCCGTAACTTTTCGACCTTTTCGACAGCTTCATCGAAGCGTTGTAGGGAAATTTCAATGTCCAAATCGTCTATTTGTCCCTCAACCCAGCGGAAATTCTGTTGTCGGCCGTCAACTTCTATGAGGATGTCGGGCTTGTCCTTGGAGGAGTTGATGCTTTCGATGATTTCGGTGTTCTTCGCCGATGCTGGATCGCGGGTTGCAAAGTAGTTGAGGCTTTCGGACTGGAGTGGGTTGCTTTGCTCCTCCTGCGTTTTGGCAGCTTTCCGAACGTCCTCGGATGCCTTTCTGAGAGCCATCAATAGACTGCCTTTGGCCTTTTCGTCACGTTTCTCGTGTCGGTAGGTGAGCGATCGTCCACCAGATCTGATTGCCAGTGCAGAGGCAATGGCCTTTTCCTCAGCTGGTGTTGTGGCCCCGGTATTCGCTACGCTAGCAGCCATGTCGATGATCTCAATGTCCTGGAGTGGCCAGCATTCTTCAGCCACCAATTTCGTTGGGGCGGGTCCCTGTTGAGGTGCATTGGGATCTACCCGCTTACGTTTCTTCGAAGCAACAAGAAGATGGTCGTTCAGAAGCACAATATGAACGGGCCGTTTTGGTTTCCAAGTAGCCGAGTCCAGCTCAATCCAAGCACCCGTCTCCGCAATGATATGCCGGCCAGGAGTGGCTGGTAAAAACTTTTGAGATTTCTCGATATTCTTCCACAGTGATTGTAGTTGAATGTTCCACATGTGCTCCAAATTCGCTACCGACGTCCTGTTTGTATTTCTTCTGGATAGTGAACCCCCATTCAGCTCGGGTGAGATGGGTGTGCTTGCGGTTCCCCCATTTCCCGTTCCCAGAGTGCCAGTCAGCTCGGTCATAAGGCCCTGAAGAATACCCATCTCGGCCTTCAACTTTTCCGCCTCTTTACTGATCTTGATGAATTGTGTTCTGTTCTGGTAGACGCTCTGCTTCAGCTCTTGAGAGTTGCGATGCTTGAGCCGCTGCAGATTGCTCTGATATTCCTGAATATCTTGTTCTGAGGCATTTGCAAGGAGATCTGTGACATAACGTTCGTGTTGAAGGTTTGGATCTCGGAGGATATCGTTATCGACGACAAGAGGACGTGAGGTTGATCCTGCTCCAGGTCGGCGTGGAGAACCGCCTCCAGAGCGACGCTTCAGGGTACCAGCTCCTGGTAGTGCGGGGACAGCGGGAGCCCCGAGGTTGCTGAAGTCAGGGAGTTGATTATATCTTGTCGAATAACGTCGTTTGACGAGGTCAGAGGTCTCGGTTGGAGCGTTGCGTTCTCGCGGCACAGTCAGGGTATTGCCAGATTTGTTCTGCGGAGGCCCTGGTCTGCCAATACCAGGACCAGAGGCATTTTGAGGTGCGCTGATAGTCGGGCGGTCTTTACGCTTCTTCCGCAACGTGAGACCCCTGGGGTCCATTATGACGATTCGAGTGGAGATGGATGAAGGGGAAGGAGAATAACTCGGAGCCTCAGGTCGTAGTAAAGAGAAACCGCTCAAAGTTCAGCCCGTTATGAAATGCGGGTCGTGCAGGTAATTGACTCAATGTGCTGTGGTTGGAAGTCAGCGAGCAACAACGTCGAGTTTGTCATTGCTGTCGCCTGCAGCCAAGGGATCAAGGAAATAAACTGGGGCGCCGAGAGCTCCTCTTGCTACTTTATCCATAGTACGTAACTTTCAACCTTAACAAAGCTACAGTGGTTTACGATTAAGCTTATTTGGTCTGGTCGTACTTTATTTAACCTTACCATCACTGTTTCCTCCTTGCTCCTTTATGCTTATATCATAAACCCAAAAGTCATACCCGCTCAATGATATGGTATAAAATGCCGGGAGGGGCTTCTATGATAATCTCATCACTTGAGCTCTCCTTTCTTCAGATTACCAGCTTTCCATCCTTCTTGACTCGTCAGTTCTTGTAGATTGCTCACTGCTTTGGCAAGATGCAGCAAATAATCAACACCAATCACCCTATTCCGTTAGCTGCCTGCCTTATCTGCTACTTTTAGGATCACGGCCATGCCCCTTGTTACGAGCGTCAGACACCTATCAGTACAAGTGCTCAACCTCTGCTCAGCCTTACCCAAATTTCCTCGGCGACCGGTACATCTGCTGACGAGTTCTACCGCTATGAGCTTACATGAGCCTCACATGGCACCCTCTGCTCTTGAGATACGGCAAGTCGACGCGTTTATCTGCGGGAGAATCATCAATGTTGCATTCGTGTGCGAGCCGCGTCGTGGCGGCGGCACGACAACCTCGTCGGATGGACGGGACCTTCCGTATCGACATTAGCGGGGCGTCGGAGGGTGTTAACCATATCTCGCAACTACAAGCAATCACCCTGGTATCTGATACCACTCTCGCCAGATAGCACCCAGTCACACATGGCCTTCTAGAAGGGCCATTTATTTGAGGCCGCATATGTCCAATCACTTGGACAGCAATCTCGCCAACGAAAGATCGGGGTGACTTCGAGAACCCAGGCTAAGTTTCTTGCCTTGACCAGGTTCAGCAACCTAAAGTCTTCGCCCATTCGCCTGTCGCGAACGCCTATCTAGGAATCGCTAAAAGGAGGTAGAGCTTGATGTGCTTATCTGCCCACAAGCTTCCATGCTTGTCGTTCTTTATCTTGGTCGGCCCAGCCCTCATGGCTGGGCTTGTCCTTTCCATTCTTTCTGTTTGATTCTTACCTTCCAGTGCCAGCAATCCAAATCCCAAGATGAGCGAACGTCGAGAGAGCCTGACCCTGCAGGACCCTGAGAAGCGAGCGAAGTCCGATGCAGTTGACCCGGCTAGCTTGGCTGACCACTTGCGTGGGCGCCAATTCAGCGTCGATGCCCACGATGTAGCCATTGTCGAGACCGACCAAGGCAAGCTGCACCGGAATCTGAGAGGGAGACATATGCAGATGATTGCTATGTAAGCCTGTTTTACCTAGGGAATCCTCCTTCTATGGTCCCGCCTTGTTGTCGACCATTGACTTCCTGTCATGGATCAACTCCTTCTTGGTGTTCGCTGGTACCAATGGATTTACTGATTATGATCTCAGTGGTGGCGCTATTGGTGCAGGTCTCTTCATCGGAAGTGGTAGCGCTTTCCAGACTGGCGGCCCTGGTGCTGTGCTCATCGGCTTTATGATCATTGGTGAGTGTCAAACAATGCAAATGATATGTGCTAGTCTAACACTTTCACGACAGGAGGCATGATGTACAGTTCATCAACTTCCCTCTCTGCCACGAGAATGTCCTAACTGACCTTGTTTAGATACCTCATGATGCAAGCGCTTGCCGAGTTGGCCGTCATGTATCCCATCAATGGAGCATTCACCATGTACATTTGCAGATTCATTGACCCTTCGTGGGGATTTGCCTGCGGTTGGCAATACGGCATTGGCTGGCTCACGGTGCTTCCTTTTGAGATTTCAGCAGCTTGCAACGTGAGAATGTTCCTGGCCACCATAGATCACCACTGACACCTGGCAAGATCATCCATTTTTGGACGGATGTAGAGAACGTCAATGATACCGCCTGGATCATCCCCTTGCTTTTTGCTCTTACTGTCATTCAATACTTTGGTGTGAAGGGCTATGGGGAAGTAAGTGACCACCTGTGCGGTCATCAGTGTCCGCTGCTCACCAGATTAGGTCGAGTTTGTCCTCAGCGCAATGAAGGTTATTGCATGCGTCGGATTCATGATCCTAGGTATCATAATCGATTGTGGTGGCGTACCCACCGATCATCGAGGTTATATCGGAGCCAGATATTGGTAAGGTCATGTCCAAGGCTCCTTACCACCCACATACTGACAGGGCTACCTCGTTTTAGGCACCACCCATGGGCTGGTTTCCTTAATGGTTTCCACGGCTTCTGCACTGTCTTTGTCACGGCCTCGTTTGCTTTTGGCGGCACCGAACTCACTGGTCTGGCTGCTGCCGAGGCCCAAAACCCTAGGAGAGAAATCCCCAAGGCTACGAGACAAGTTGTGTGGCGTATCTGTATCTTTTATGTCATCAATCTCTTCCTAGTCGGCCTTATTGTGCCAGCAGACAGTCCGCTCTACAGCGGGGCCGGCGCCGAAAGTCGACATTCCCCGTTTGTGATTGCTATCGAACTGGCGGGCATCAAAGCGCTTCCGTCGATATTCAATGCCATGATTTTGATTTCGGTGATGAGTGTCGCCAACTCGTGCACATTTGCCTCTACCCGAACCTTTCAAGCATTGGCTCAACACGGTAAGATACATGATGTAGAGGTCAATCCAATCATTGCTGACCCGTTGGCACAGGTATGGGTCCCAAGCTCTTTGCCTATGTCGACAAGAAGGGCCGACCTGTTGTCGTGACCATCCTCCAACTCCTGTTTGGGTGTTTGGCGTTCCTCAATCTGGACAAGAATGGAGGTGGGAACGTTTTCAACTGGCTTCTGGCTCTGTCTGGTCTCTCTTCGTTCTTCATCTTCGGCAGCATCGCAGTCGCGCACATTCGCTTCCGGGCTGCATGGTAAGTCATTGCAAACTCTTCGTGATGGAGCTCCGCGAGCTAAAAGTGGCACTCTCGCAGGAAACTTCAGGGACACAGCGTCGACGAACTCCCGTTCAAAGCTGCCTTCGGTATCTACGGCTCCTATGTCTGCGCCGTCATGAATTTTGTGTGCTTGGCCGCCCAATTCTACGTGGCCCTCTACCCGGTCGGAGGACCCAATCTCGACCCGACCATCTTCTTCCAGGACTACCTCGCGGGTCCGTTCCTCGTCGTCCTCTACCTAGGCTGGAAGATCTGGTCTTGGTTCATGCAAAAGGAGCATCGCCCGCTGTACATCAAAATCAAGGACATTGACATCTACACGGGCATGCGCGAGGGCCAGGCCGATCTCATTAGTGGGCCAGGTGTCTCGGAAGAACAGCGCAGGGAAAGTATCGCCGAGCTGCAGGAGGAGAAGAAGAAGAAGGGTGCCATGGATTACGTCAAGGCTGTGGTCCACTCGATCTTCTGATCTGGTCTGGCCTGGTCTGGTGTGGTCCGAGCAGGTGAGATTTTGGGGCCGTCTACCTAACTAGGTTGGCATTCTCTAGCTCTCAAACAACACAAAGATTTGCCTTGAATCAGACCGCTCGAGAGTCTTTGATCGGGTGGTCAACTGTGCTCTTTTTTCGGGCATATTAGAGAAAGGCGACCTGGTCGAAGGTGCGAGCGGACAAGATGGGG